AATGCCCCAGCTCATGCTCTGCCTATGCGTGCCCACCAGTACTCTCCCCTCCCAGATATACATGGGAGTCTAAGTGTGCATCCAGATTGCCTGGCTGTGTAGTATATGGTCCCGCAAACACCTCTGCAGCACCGCATACTGCAGAGTCCGGTGTTGTCTGTGCTGCAAGGGTGGTCTGCTGAAAAGCAGCGGTGGGCTGTCCAGAGTTGTGCTGCAGTTGATGGCCAGGCTCCACCTGGCAGTATCACCATGGCTGCAGCACCAGGAGACCCCCGGGATCCCAGGTAAGGCTGCTAGGGCCAGGCCAGTACTGGCCCCCGCCTCCCCTGCCAGCCCTGGGATAACAAGCCATGCACCAAAGAGCACGTGCGGCATGGATGTTTTCCAGGGACAAGGAGCTGCAATGCAAGGTGCACCACTGCTACTTGTTCCTGGGGAAGCAAACATCTGTGCTCATCTGGACGCAGCCTAAGAGTCTTCTCTAGAGGTCGCTCATGGACAGGCAGGAGGTGGAGAGCTTGAGTATGACCAAAGACAAACAATTTCCCTGCCTTCACCAGCCTGTTCCTGGGTTTGGGCTGTGATAGCCAGCGTGGGTGGGCAGGGGACACCTCACTATGGTGGTATGACCGGCACAGGGCTCGTGGGGACAGGGCAGCAGGACAGGGAGCCCCAAACCTGGAGTGGTAACACACATACTCACCCACCTGCCACAGAGTCCGCTCGGCTGTGGTCGGGGAAGTGGACAACGGGCATACGCCCAGCTTTCCAATTTGGAAAAGGTGGTCATCCCAAGCAGGTCCTCAAATAATCCATTTCTAAGCACTTGGAGGAGAAGGATGCGATTAGGAACAGTCAGCATAGATTCACTAAGGGCAAGTCATGCCTGACCAACCTCATTGTCTTCTATAATGAATTAAGTGGCTCTGTGGATGCAAGAAAAGCAACAGAGATAATATACCCTGACTTTAGCAAGGTTTTGACACGGTCTCTCACAGCATTCTTGCAGGTAAGCTGAGGAAGTACAGCTTGGATGAATGGACTGCAAGGTGGATAGAAAACTGGCTGGAGCATTGGGCTCAGAGGGTAGTAGTCAACAGCTCAATGTCTAGCTGGCAGCTGGTATCAAGTGGAGTGGCCCAGGGTTTCATCCTGAGGCCAGTTTTGTTCAATATCTTCATCAATGACGTGGAAGATGGGTGGTGGGTGCACCCACAGCAAATTTACAGTGACACCAAGCTGGGTGGAGTAGTAGATAAGCAAGTGCAATGTTTTTCAACCCGTGGGTCGCGACCCAAAAGTGGGATGCAAGAATATGTGAAAGGGTCAGGAACACACTTAAAAATGGATTCTCCTTTAATAGAGAAAAAAGCAGGCAGCGGTGGCTTTTCCCTTGCAGGTTGGCAGAGTTGTCACCGGGCCCCATGCACACTCCCTCTGCCCACAAACCGGGGGCTTGGGGAAGCGGCTCAGGACTGACGTGCACTAGGTTGGGACTGGCCACTGATGTTTACAAATGGGTCCTGGTACAAAAAGGGTAAGAATCACTGAACTAGAGGGTAGGTAGGATACGGAGAGACCTAGAGAAATTGGAGGATTGGAACCAAAGAAATCTCATGAGGTTCAACAAGGACAAGTGCAAAGTCCTGCATTTAGGATAAAACAATCCCATGCACCAGTACAGGCTGGGGCCTGACCAGTACAATGTGGGGGACAGAGCACCAAAGCGAAGGGGCACCTACAGGTTCGTCATGAGCCAGAGTTGATATTTTGTTATAACTATTTTGACAATATTGTCTATCCCAGCATGTTTCCAGAATTTATAACAATTCTCCTATAATTTACCCACCATGATCCTGACATTGATGTTTACCTTGTGGTAATATTGATTGCCAGTCGCTTTCTCCCCCATGCGACAAGCGTGCGAAGAGGGCTCAGGCACAGAGCAAACCAGACCAAAGATGTTTAGGAAACCATGGGACCAAAGAAATCAGGAGCATACAATAGGACGAAGGCGACGCTGAAAAAAGCAGATGAGAAGGAACTTGCAGAGTCGTGGGGAAAGCGGCTCTCAAAAGCTGAGAGTGATAAGGGTGTAGGTTGTAGCCATGTTGGTCTAAGGACATTGATATCTTTGATCTTTTCTGTCTGAGAGTGATAAGAGCATCCCGCCATGTTGTAATACAGAAATAAGTGAGTTGGAGCCACGTGAGCAAGATGAACCAAAAGTGGTAAAACCAAATGAGCAAGAAGAACCAAGAAGATCAGAACTGAACATTTGTGTTCAATATTCTGGCAAAGATGAAAACATTGGCATTATGAACAACCTACAGGCGGCAACTTGTCCTGAAATAGCCATAAATGTCAGTGATCCAGCAACGTGGCAATACCCTTATGCACATAATTTCATTTCTACTGCAGTACATTGAACAAGACACTGAAGCCAATTATTCTCAGTCAGCGACAGAAGATGGGAGGCACTTCAGGAAGCAGTGGTTTAACAGGATTCATCAAATGGAAAAATGGTTGAATGGAAATGGCTTCTATATAGCAAAACTAAAGGAGCTCGCTTCTGTTTCCCTTGCATGGCTTTTTCCAAACAGATCCAAATAACCCCGGCCACAGCAAATCTAGCAACAGGATTGGGAAACTGGAAAAAGTTCAGTCCTAGGATTTCTGAATATGAAAACTGCACAGAACAGCGCGAGTCATACATAAATGGGAAAGACTTTGAGAAGTGATTAAGAAGGGGGTGCACGATGGATGATGCAAAATCACTGGCTGAGATTCCTTGAGGTGTGCTAGGCAGGAGCTCTGACTATTGGATCAGTGTGGTCCCCTTCCCTGGCCTTAATACTCCAGGTCTCAGCTTTAGCCACTACCTTTGTTATGTGGCCTCAGGGGAAAATCAGGGGAGGAAGCAACCAGTGACTGCAACTGATACTAGTAGATGCAGAAGCCGCCAAAGCAGGGACCATGGAGGTGTCAGGGCTGTCCTCAGTGTTGACTGGACTCTCTCTGCCCTGTGTTACTTGCCTGTTTCATACAAGATGAGGGTTGGAAGGACTTCAGGAGGTCATCTAGTCCATGTTTCTCCACCAGCGAAGGTCATGTAGGTGGGACATCAACTCATTTGAAAATTCCCATTAATGAGTAATAGAATACTAAAATACATGGAAAGGTAAAAAAGTACACTTCTTGGGAAAAGTGGGGTTTTGTTTTTATCATAGTGGGACCAGGGTTTTTTGCCAAAATGGTTGGTGGGATGTGAGGTGCAAAAGGTGGAGAAGCGCTGTCCACCCCTCTGCTCAACACAGGACCATCCCCAGCAAGATCATCCCAGCCAAGGCTTCGTCTAGCCTGGTCTTGCAAACGTCCAAGGATGGAGAGTCCATCACCTCTCCAGTGCTTTGCTACCCTCCTAGTGAAAAAATGTATCCTAATAGCTAGCCTAAACTTCAATTGCTGCAACTTAAGACTGTTGCTCCTTGTTCTGGCATCTGCCACCACCGAGAACAGTCCCGCTCCATCCTCTTTGGAGCTCCCCTTCACGTAGTTGAAGGCTGCTATTAAATCCCCTCTCAGTCCTCTCTTCTCTAGACTAAATACACCCACTTCCCTCAGCCTTTCCTTTGCTCCAACCCTCTTCCTTCTGCTCCCTTCCAGCCCCTTCCCGCCTCACACCCCTCTTACATTTCCCCCCCGTCCTGCTCCCCCTTTCCCAGCCACTGCTGCAGAATAAGCTCACAGGGTCAGGCTATGGGAACCAAGGAGCAGTACAGAGACAGACAAGCAGCCAATACTGATGTCGTGTTGCAGTCACTATTCAGTGGGAATCAACCTGAAAGGCAAAAAGGAAAAGGCCCGGGTTACATATGAGAGTGCAAGGGGTGTGAGAAAAAGCCCAGTCAAGTGCACAATGTCACACCTGCCCCAGGAAGCAAAACCTGGGGCGTGTGGAGTGACTGAAGGTGCAATGACTGTCCGTGCAGGCACACTGGCTTTTCTACTGCCTGCTTCACAGCTGGGCTATTAGATCAAGGACAGGTTCGATGCCAGCTGCAGAGGGGAAGCACTTCACTGTTTGCTGCAGCACAGACGAGCCACAGAAGAAGACTGAAGGAGTGGAAGCACCTGCCATGACTGGCAGTGCATCCATTTGTAGACCAGTTAGCAAATGCAGACTGTCCTCTTAGGACGAGGATGGTATCACGTGAAATTAGTGACTGCTGGTGCACAGGCAAAGCTGTGTGACAGAGCAGTGCAAACCCTGGATATGACTGAAATGCAGCTGTCTAACCTCACTGGGAGAGAGGAGAGAGGACAGACTTGCTCGGCCCTGTCCACTTTCCCAGCACAAGGACATTTCTCAAGGAAACAGAGATTTACAGAGCAAAGCCTGAATGAACCCTGTTATGCAGCCCCAAAGAGAAAGAGCGGGCTGATTTCCACTAGTTTCAGCAGCAACACTCAAGAATAAATCCAGCAAAGAACAGGCCTCTAAATTCCTACGGGGGCTACACTGCAGTAGCACCTAGGAGTCCCGATCCTGGAGCAAAGCTTAATAGCGGCACGCGCTGTGCAAACCCTGATTAGAAGAGGGAAACAATGAACTGCCATTCTGCAACAGATGCCTGCCTTTGCCCGACTAGGAGAAAGGAGGACGGCTATTATTTCATCTTTGCTTAAAGGAAGAAAGCAAACCCAATAATACAATATCTGGGAAGGCAGAGCCAATGGATCCCTCCGAGATGACACTGGCACTATTGTGAGTTGATGCGTGCACAGCTGGGCAGCAGGGAGGGCTTATCTCCAGCAAGTCTTCAGCAAACACAGGGGACACATGGCAGCAGGCCGTGCGGACAGATCAGAGCAGCCTGCCGGGAAGATTAGAGCACCGCCCTGCTCTCTCAGAAATCCCCCGCTGCTGTAAATGCCTCTGCCTTCCTCCTAGGAAAGACGTATAAAGCAAGGACCCTCTTCCCTCCATCCTCAGAGGAGCTCCCGTCTCACAGTGTCTCAGAGCCTCGTCTCTTCCCGGTGTCTCCTGGATCCCAGGCAAGCTGCAGCCATGAAGACCCCCTGCCTTCTCTTTGCCCTGGTGCTCCTGGTTCTCCACGTCCAGGCCATGCCCAATCCGGTGGGTGAGAAGGATCCCGAGAAGGAAGCAGACATCTGGGATGAGGTGAAGGATGATGCTGGGGAAGAGGAAGGCGATGTGGAAGCTGAAGGTAGGATGCAAGGGCTGGGGGTGTCCATGGCACGGGAGCTTGCATAAGGAAGGGACATCGGTGCGGACGGGGAGAGCAGGCGTGAAGGCAGTATCAAGGGGTGGAGGCAGCCCTGGCTGCTGGGATTTTAACCAAGGGATGCATTTGGTTTTCGTGTCCCTTCCAGAAAGCTCTGCCCATGTCTGCTGAAATGCTGCGAGTCATGTGCTTTGGTTTTATAGCATTATATAGATGTCACGGTTTCAGTAGCAAACAGGTGGCCAGTCAGCACCTGGCATATCTGTGGTCATTGCCTGTCCTCCTGTCACCCTCCCTCTTGTGCTGAAATTCCCGTACTTGGAATAGAGGAACATAAAGTCACAGTCACATTTTCTGTTTGTGCAGGTGCCGAAGGAGAAAACAGCCCCATGATATGCGGCTTTTCAGGCGGTTCTTGCCGTACAAGTTGCTCTAGCAATGAAGTGATGGCTGGCAAGTGTTACGGCAGCTATCTTTGCTGTGTACCCAGATAAAAGTCCTGATGAGGGACAGTGGAGACATCCAGACAGAGGCTTCAATGCAATACCTGCCTCAGATAGAGCCACATCAATGAGCTCTCACGTCCTCTTCATTTTATTAAATCTTAACCTGGTGGTGATATCACTGACTGTATTTGGCTTTATTTCTGTCTTGCCTGGGGTGAATGCTTGGGATATGGACAGCCAAGGGAAACCTTGTCCATATGGGGTAACCAGAGGCGACCCTCACCCCTCTTGCTGCATTCCCAGGAACCATGGGCTCCATCCCTCCCCTGACCTCCCCACAAACCCCTTTCCCACCCTGGGCAAACAAAGGACTCCTCGCTGGTTTGCCAGGTGAGCGCAGCAGGAAACTTGAAGGTGCCCACCATTTCTTCTGCAGAGGGTCTGGAAATGCTGCTCCCAAGGGGATGGGTCTCCATGCTGCTGCCCTGGTGCACTGAGGAGCGGTGGGCCCTGATGCTTCAGAGAAACCCTCCTTTCCGGGTGTGAGAGATGTAGTGCACGAGTGGGCTGGCTGTGCTGTGCTTGGGAAGAGCGCTGTGGACGTGGTACAGCCATGCCCTTCTTCCTCTGGCTCTTCTCCACAACCACCTCCTTTCCTCCCCAACCCATCTCCCTGCTCTTTCTGCACAACTCTGTCATGGCTCTCACCCCATCC